CAGGGGCTAGAAAAGAAGAAAAATTAATAAATATAATTGCAGAAACATTTACAATTTGTGTATAACAGAAGACTTCGTTGTAATTAAAAAAAAATAAAAGACAAGCATTGTACATATGCATAGAACAGTTCCATAAAGATACACAAAATACTGATAACTCTGAGCTCTGGGAGTCAAGAACTGAGTGGGTGGGGGACTAACTTTCCAAAGTGTACATTTCTTTCTATACTATATGAGACTGTTACCTTTCCCATACATAAATATTTTTAAAGGCAAGCAACATATTAGGGAAATATTTGCAACACTCTGTATTAATATCTCTTGTGCCAGTTATCAAATTATTGCCTCTTACCTCCAAGCTGCTTCTATGGTTGGCTCTGTGAAACTGGACCCTGTCTCCTTTACCAACTGGCTTGATGTTAGTCTCTGCCAGTAGAGGGCGCCAAAGGAACATCGTAAACTGGGAGCAGGAGGGACTTTCCCTTCCTTTTCCAGGATCGCCAGTTTTCCTGTGCGTTAAGTCTGTGTGTGTGCTTGCCCGTGTGTGTGACCTAGCTGCAGCACGTGTCCTCTGACAAATTTCTTTGTCACTGGTGGGCTCTGTTACTTGTGACACCCATGTTCTCTCTGCAGAGGTCTGAATCTCAGTCACGTGGGGGAGCCCCTCTTTAAGTTTCTCAGTCTCTTTCCTTTTCACCTCCATCAAAGGCCAAGAGTAAGTAAACTGCAGCCCACAGGCCCAGTCCTGCCCTCTGCCTGTTTTTGTATTGCCCTTCATTTAAGAATGTTTTTACATTCGAACCTCAACTAAGCAAAATGTTATCCCAACTAAGTGGATCCCATTCTGCTCATTAAAGAACTTTATTCCAAAGCTTGTACTTAGAAAGGTGTGGAAATTTGTTTTCTGTGTTGTTATGTAATTATCTACGTAATATCTTTGATTTCGCCTGTTCTACAAATCCTAAAATATTTAGTATCTGGCCCTTTATGGAAAAAGCTTTTGCCAATGCCTGCCTCAAAGTCTTCTTGTACCCCTTTTGATAGTTAACCATATTTTATTACTTAAAATTTTTTTAATTTAATTTTCTCTGTTTATATTACTGGTATGGCTTGTCTCCTGATTTGGCCCTGATTGATATAGCCCTAATAGGCAGTTTCTACCAATTAATAAGAAACTATAAACAACTCAGTAGGAAAATAGGCATTAACCTGTTCATTTAGATAACAAATATTGAATTCCAGTCATTGTTCTGGGCACTAGGATAAAGCCAAGAATAAAATACAAATGAGATAGAACGAAGGAAAGGAGGGAAGGCTTTGTTGATGTATAAAATGGAGCTCGTTTCCGAGTTCGAGTCAAGACAAGCAGATAACTCACCTGGATGTAGGTCCGGAAAAACTCTGAGAGTCTTGCAAGTTTTGGGAGTTCGTTGTTTGCTCTTTGGTACCACCCTACAGTTGTAGAACATCTGGCATCCTTAGTCCCCATCTACTAAGTGCTAGTAGCTCCCTCTCCCTACCCAAACATTGAGACAATCAACATAGGTGCCCATAAATCTATGAAATGTACCCCTTCCCAGAGGTTCCCGCTCCATCTGAGAATGTCTGGCTTAGCCTCTGAGAATTCAGTTGAACAAATATTTTACAATCAAGTCCCTGGTTTCCTTTGTCCCTTAAAGGAATGCAATGAGACGGGCAAGGCTGGTATCTTATCCCTACTGATCAAATGAGGAAATCAAGACACCAGGGGCCGGAAGAGCCAAGTGATATAATGGTCCAACTAAGATGCTCAGGCTTGAGCCACTGTTCTTTCCAACCACCTTCATACAAGATCAACACACAAAAATCAGTTGTTTTTCTATACACCAGCAACGAATACTCTAAAAAGGAAATTATAAAAACAATTCCATTTACAACAGCATCAAAATAATAAACTACGAAAGAATAAATTTAACCAAGAACATGAAAAACTTGTATACTGAACACTAAAAAAAACATTGCAAAGGAAATTTTAAAAGACCTAGATAAGTGGAAAGACATCCGTGTTCATGGGTTGAAAAACTTAAAATCGTTAAGATGGCAATACTACTAAAAGCAATCTACAAATTCAATGCAATCCCTATCGCAATTCTGACTTTTTTTTTTTTTTTTTGCAGAAATGGAAAAGCTGATTCTCAAATTCATATGGAAGTATTAAGGATCTCAGATAGTTAAAACAATATTTTAAAAAGAACAAAGTTGGACAACTCACACTTCTCGATTTTAAAACTTACTACGAAGCTGCTCGTATTCGTGTTCTCCAGAGAAACAGAACTAATAGATACATATAAGAGATTTATTAAAACGTATTGGCTCAGGCCATTATGGAGGCTGAGAACTCCCTTGAACTGCTGTCTGCAAGCTGGAAACTCAGGAAAGCTGGTAATGTTGTCTGAAGGCCCTATTAGGGCCAGAGGACCAATGGTGTAGATTCCAGTGTAAGCCCAGAGGCCTGAGAGCAAGGAGTGAGGAGGGCAGGAGAAAATTGGTGCCCCAGATCAGCACACAGGTAGAGGAAGGACAAGTCCAAGATTCCTCTGCCTTTTTATTCTATTCAGGCTCTCAGAGGTTTAGATGATACCCACACTGGAGAGGGCCATCTGCTTTATTTAGTATTTGAATCCACCAATTCAAATACTAGTTTGTTCCCGAAACAATCTCACAGACATACCCATAAATAACGGTTAATCAGCTATCTGGGCATCTGTGGCCTCGTCAAGCCAACATAAAATTCACCATCACACTGCAATAATCAAAACAGTGTGCTGCTGGCATAAAAATAGACATATAGGTAAAAAGAATAGAATTGAGAGTCTAGAAATAAGCTTATATTATACATCTATTATAAATTGGTTTTCAACAAGAGTGCCAAAGCTATTCAATGGGAAAAGAATCATCTTTTCAGCAAATGATGCCAGGACAACTTAATATCCACATGTGAAAGAATTAAATTGGACCCCTACCTCATACCACATATAAAAACAAATTCAAAATGGATCAACAACTGAAATATAAGAACAAAAATTATAAACTCTTAGAAGAAAACATCAAGGTAAATCTTGGATTTTGCAATGAATTCTGAGACGTGACACCAACAGCATAAGCAACAAAAGAAAAATAGATAAACTGGACTTCATCAGAATTAAAAAGTTTTGTGCATTAAAGGACATCATCAACAAAATGAAAAGACAATCAACTGTATAGGAGGAAATATTTTTAAATCATAGAGTATTCATAATATATAAAGAATTCTTATAACAACAATAAAAAGATAACCCAATTTTTAAAAGGATTTAAATAGACATGCAAAGAAGAAATACAAATGGCCAAGAAGCACATGAAAAGATGTTTAACATCATTAGTTATTAGGGAAATGCAAATCTAAAGCACAATAAGATATCACTTTATAGCCACTATATCTATATAGATAGATATAGTGGCTATATATATATATCAAGATTTGGGAAGAGGATTAGGAGGCAATAGAGGGTGACTGCTTAATAAGTACAGGATTTGGGGGCGGGAGATGAAAATGTTTTGGAACTAGATAAAGGTGGTGGTTGCATGGCATTGTGAATGTGCTAAATACCACTGGATTGTACACTTTAAAATGGTTAATTTTGTGTTCATGATTATCAGTTCAATTAAAAAAAAAAGCTCACACTAGCCTGTGCTTTCCCCTCGCTGTCTGCCCAGTGTATGCACAGGCCTCAGCTCCCAGGAACAAGGAAAATTTCAAGAGAGACTCTGGCCTCTGACTGGGCTGTAGGAGCCCAGGACACACCTGCTCCTTCCCCTTTAGTGACTTTGAGCTCTCTGCACCTAGCTCAGTAGTGCCTGCTAACAGCAATGGGCAAAGGAGCTGCGGCAGGATGGGATAGAAAGTATCCTGGCTTTGGACCCTGAAGCTGACAGTGTCCCTGCCCCACTGTCTGCTTTCCACCCCCTGTGACTCACTATTCCTTCTTAGACAAACTCCAAGCTGTTAGGGTGACCCACAGGGCCTGCTTGTCTAGGTCCTTGTTGATATTGTGGCCTCCTCCCACACTCCCACAGCCTTTCCCAGGCTCCCTCTCCCCTGCAGGCCCTCACACTCCTCCTCAGAATGCCCTCTCCCAACTCCCCAGCCTCTTTCCTCTGTAACCCGAATTTGAGCATGAAGACTAGCCCGACAAGTCTCCCTGCCTAGGGCCGGAGGACAAAACCTGCAGATACAGCTGCAGGGCATGCACAGAGCAGGAAAGCAGGGCGCACACATTCACATAGTTTCAAAGTAGGCAACTTTGTTCATCTGCTAATTTCTCATTTTAGTGTTATTTTAACAGGAATTGCACCTGTGAGAAGGGTAGGAGGCCCCATGATCTTACTCTGAAGGGCTATGCTGGGCTCCCACCCACCCCCAGGCAGGGTTGGGGACCCCCTCCCCAGTTCCAGCTCACCATCCTCAAGCATCATACCATGTGTCACAGTCAATTAACTTTCCTTTGTCCCTCACAAGTGTGTGCCCTTGAGGGCAGGGCCCAGGTCTTGGTCACTGTAGGCTCTGCTGAGCCAGAGGCACCCAGGAGAGTGCCTCCCAACAACTACTCAAAAAGAAAAGAAGTGACCCAAGTTAGGGTCCCGCTCCACTACTCACTCCTCCGGGCCCTTAAACATTCTGACTTCTCCGAGCCTCAGTTGCCTGAACTGTCCCATGGAGCCATGACCCTATTCTGACCACCTCCCAAGGCAGAAGGCGATCACACACGTGGAAGTGCTTGGTGCAGGTCTTGCCCGAAAGCAGGGATTCTAGTGGGCTTTTTGCAAACGCAGTCAAGACCTTTGAAAGGCGGGGAGAATGAGGGCGGAGACCTTGCCATCCTCACA